TGGGAGGGGGAGTTGAAATGGTTCGCGACTGGGAGGTGCAGTTGTTTGTTGCGAACCGAGCGTAGGTGTTCTGCAAAGCGGTCCCTGAGCCTCCGCTTGGTTTCCCCGATGTAGAGGTAGCCACACCGGGTACAGCGGATGCAGTATACCACATTGGCAGATGTGCAGGTGAACATCTGCTTGATGTGGAAAGTCTTCTTGGGGCCTGGGATGGGGGTGAGGGAGGAGGTATGGGGGCAGGTGTAGCACTTCCTGCGGTTGCAGGGAAAAGTGCCGGGTGTGGTGGAGCTGGAGGGGAGTGCTTCACTCAGTTGTGAACCTATGGAATTCTCCCCCACAGGAAGCTGTTGGGGCCAGTTCATTAGATATATTCAAGGGGGAGCTGGATGTGGCCCTTACAGCTAAAGGGATCAAGGGGTACGGAGAGAAAGCAGGAATGGGATACTGAGATTGTATGATCAGCTATGATTGTATTGAATGGTAGTGCAGGCTCGAAGGGCTTACTCCTGCTCTTATTTTCTATGTTTCTAAGTCATCGGATTCCTCCATCAAGGAGAAAAGTTCCCTTCCTGTCTACTCTACCTATTCTTCTCAATTGTAAACAGCCCCCTGCTCTGCTATAAGGAAAGTAACCTCAGCCAATAAAATGAGGGGCAGGTTTCTCACTAGCTTAGCCCCCAGACAGTGACCAGAATTTCACTGTGACAATCCCCAAATCCCACACTGCCAATCAACAGAGCATGAGATCCAATAGGAAATCACTCATTATTCCAAACATTTAACACAGCTGCTTGTGATTTTGGGGTAGTTTTAGAATCAGAATCCCTACAGTGTGGAAACAGGTCCTTCAGTCCAACAGGTCCACACTGACCCTTGGAGCATCCCACCCAGACCTATCCCCCTGTAACCCACCTGATCTACACATGCCTGAACACTACAGGCAATTTAGCATGGCCAATCTACCTAGTCTGCACATCTTTGGATTGTGGGAGGAAACCCACGCAGACACGGAGAATGTGCAAACTCCACACAGACAGAACAAAAAAAACGCTGTAGGTTAATGTGTTTTAACACAGAACAGAACAAAGAGAGGATGAGAAAGACACTGAAAGCAAACCGGTAATTATTTATTCAATTTACAATTGGGAACACGAATGTAGTCAATAAATATAATTTTTACTATAAAAACCCTCCCATTCACAAATTGGGAAGAGTAACACTGTGCGAGTCTGCATCATTATTCTGATTTTTATAAAGGTTTGGAGAGCCAAAGAGGGGGGTTGGGGGTGTGGAAAATGGGTCTTTGTCAGGGGTGTCCACTCCCCCTCCCCATTCCACATCCCCAACCCCTGGGGAGCTTGTATCCCTGGGACAGAAGCAGCAGTTGACGTGTTCAGGGGATTAGTCAAAAAAGTCAGGAGAATCTCTTCAGCTGGGGATGGGGTTAAGGAGGGAGTCCCTTACCCACCCTGGAAGAGAGAGACACAAATAACCATTTACACATTGAGGGGGAACACCAGCTTTAAAAAAAAATCCCAGAGAGTCCAGACTTTATTCCTCAACACCTCACCAACTCCCCCCACCCTGAGAATATACTTCTCCAAATCCAACTTCTAAAAAAAAATTCTGATATTTTAAATTTAAAATTGCCAAACAGATATTGCAGAACACGTTCTTTCATTGCCAGTTTCTGACCCACGGACTTTGGCCCTAATGCACAGGTGCCCCCTGGTGCTCAGTGGACCCTGATGGACTATTTGGCAATGGGAGGCATCATATTTTAAATTTCTTTGTATGCGAGTGGGGCTCAAATTTCAACATGAGTGAGCTGACAGTGGTCAGGAAAAGTACCGAAATGACATATTTCACAAGCCCAAAGGGACATTAAATTCAACAGGTACACATGAACAGAGACACCCCGTATTTAGTGAGATACCTGAGCTTCTGGATTTATGACAGAGACTGTCTCCATGCCAGAGAAAATATACACAGCCCCACAGGAGCAGTAGTGTAAACTTCATACTCATATATGCAGGCAGTGTGTGTATCTCTCTCTCTCTCTCTCACACACACACACACACTCACTCACTCTCTCACTCACACACTGAGACACATACACACAGACCTGCCTGTATGACCTGACACAATGCCGTCAAGCATAGCAGCCTCATAGTAGAATCTAGTTGATATACTTGATCTCTGCGCCTCTCTCTCTCTCTCTCTCTCTCTCTCTCTCTCTC